AACAAAGAGAGCATCACTAACTCCTGGCACTGTCCCACAGAGCACCTATTTGCACGCCAGCTGGCACACGGCCACTGGGGAAACAGGCAAGGCAGGAGCTAGCAAGGCCAACCACAGACCTGCCCACAGGCACCCGAAGAACATGAGCCAACCTGGACTTTGGCCCTCCCCAGGCCACAACTGGGCACATCCAAGAAGCTCCCCCTCACCTGTCCATAGTACCAGACACTGTTCTAGAAACTTCACAGTGACTCTGGTTCTCCCTGCAGGGCAAGTGGAAAGATAGGGCCAAGGTTTCTTACTTGAGGGTGGGGCGGGGCAGAGTCCACAAGCGTAAAGCTGTCAGGGGCTTGACCTCTCTCCCTGGGCTCTGAGCCTCTGCTGGGCCCTGTCCTGTTCTCCTTAGAACCCCCAAATCCAAGAGGGGTACATATGCCCTGCTGGCCTCCTTGGTTGCTCTTCTTCCCTGCCCACCTTGGGTCAGGCTGAGACTGTCATATATGGCAGGTTAGGTAGGCCGGAGTCTCGGGGGTGAAAGTATTCACCAAGACAGTTATGAAGGGGCAGTCCTGGGGGGAGCACTGCCAAGTATCTGCCTCTGCCCAGGGTGGGGATGGGCAGAGGCATTGGCAGGAGTCTGACGGGATCCCAGAGTGAGGAGGCTGTCCTAGAGCCTCGACTGGGGGCAGACTCCCTCCTCAGTTTCTCACCTGTGAGCCCAAGGAAAAGGAACTGGGCAGACTCAGGTCTGGGATAGCCCACCAGGAGGGACCTAGCCTACTGCCCAGGTGTCAGTGTTACCCAGTGTAACGCCTGAGTGACCTAGCTGAATTTCTCCCCTAAACTAATCCTGCTTATCTTTAAGACAAAAAGGCCAGGCATGGTGGCTCTTGCCTGTAATCCTAGCACTTTGGGAGGCAGTGGCAAGAGGATTGCCTGAGCCCACGGGATCGTGACCAACCTGGGCAACATGGCGAGACCTCGACTCTACAGTGAATCAAAAAATTAGCAGGTGTGTTGGCGCTTGCCTGTACTTCCAGCTACTTGGAAGGCTGAGGCAGAAGGATTACCTGAGCCCAGCAGGTCAAGGCTGTCGTGGGCATGAGCGTGCCCCTGCACTCCAGCATGGGCAACATAGTGAGACTCTGACTCGGAAAGAAAAAAAGAAACCAAAAGGCCTGCAGACAGAAGTCCCTCTCCTGACCAAACCAGCTAAACTGGTGGGATCCAAGATAGCAACCCACTTAACCTCTGAAGAACCCCAACCTCGTTATAACAAGCTTCTCATTCAAGATGACCATACCCCCTCAGCAGCCGTGACAGGAAGGTCCAAAACATAAGAGAAAAGGAACTTAATTCAAATTTTGGGAAATTTCTGCCCATTCCCAGAAAAGACATGAATATTCCTCCCTCACTTTTAATGTTCAACTTCTTTATTAAGGAAACCCTATTTTTTTTTTTTTTTGAGTTGGAGTCTCACTCTGTTGCCCAGGCTGGAGTGCAGTGGTATGCTCATAGTCTTCCACCTCAGTTTTCCAAGTAGCCAGAACTATAGATGCGCATTACCACACCTGGCTAATTATTGATTTTTTTGTAGAGATGAGGTCTTGCCAAGTTACCTGGGCTGGTCTCCAGCCCGTGGGCTCAGGCAATCCACTCACCTCAGCCTCCCAAAGGCATGAGATTACAGGCTGAGCCACCCGAGCCCGGCGGAAACCCTATATTTTAACCCCCTCACCTCCCACCCGGTGAGAAGTTGTGAACTAATGTTTCTGCTTCTTCATTTTATGGCCATAAAATTAAAGCCTGCCCTGTTTGACCTCCACTTTTGGTCTCATATATTGGCTTCGCAACACTGGACAGGAAAGAACCCTATTTGGGGATAAAGTCAACTTTTGTTTACATCAGGAAAGCTCTTCCGCAATAACTCTTTCAGGGCTGCTCCTGACACAGAACTCAGATTTCCCATCCAGCGAGAGCCCCCAAGCCCACCCACCCAGGGCAGCACAGCATTTTAGGGTCTATTTGCTCTCAGCTTCCCTGAGCAGCTCCTGAGGTAGGAGATTCTGTTTTTAATTTCTGTGCATCATCTGGGGGCACAGCTGCTGGCCAGGTGGCTTCAAGACCGCAGATGGCTGGGGACACTCTAGGAGATCCAGGCTGAGGGAGGGGACGTCTCAGGTCATAGGCACCCAGAGGCAGCAAGATGGGGACCCAAACCCCAAAAACCCAGCAGAGCGGCTGGCGTAAGGTGGCATCCCCTGTCAGTGGGAGGGACAGAGCATCATCGGTCAGCAGGGTCTCTACTGTCAGGAGTCACCTCTGCTCCACACGGCTAGGGTCCTGACGAATGTCCTCAGGGTCCTGCAGGACCACAGGACCCTCAAATTCTTCCACTGAGCCCTCTGAGTCCACAACCATCTGACACCCCAGAGTCCTGACCACCCAAGGGCCGGGGCCATCCTTCTGCTTGTAGGAAATGGGCTCTCCCAGAGGCTACCCTCCCCCTGCCATCCTGGGGTTGGCTGAGACCACCATGCCTGCACCTTCTTCTCTCCCCCATCGGGGCAGTGCCGGCCCCCGGCTGGAGCTTCCTCCCGCCCAAAGGACAGGACCACCACCCTTCCTCACCACTCCCGGGGATCTCTTCTTCAGCCTCAGCCCTAGCAGCCCCTCTATTATGTAACATCTTCTCATGTTGCAGCAGCTTAGAGGTCTTAAGATGAAAATCCCCACCTTCTCCTAATCCTAACACAATGAATGGCCATCCCTCACCACCTCCCTCTCAGGTGCGGGCTGGAGCTGCTAGAGGATATTCAGGTCCATGTGACTTCCCACCAGTCACCAGTTGGCTTGCTTTTCTTTTCATCGCTAATGTGCCTGTGGCTGCAGGCATTCTCAGAACCTCTGGATGAGGAGGTTTGAACAGTATGGAAATCATCTCTTGTCTTTGACACATGCCTGACCAGGGACACCAAGTCTGTCATGTGGCCGCTAGGAGAGGTGTCTCCATGGGGCACTGAAACAGGCGGACTGCTCCTTGGCGTTTTCCAGTCTAAAATTACTTTTATCTGTGTCAACCAGCCGATTCTGCAAGGCACATAGTCTATCCTGACATGACAGGGTTTTGTCAAATTTTCCTACTGGTTCTAACAGGTTTTTCTAGATATGTGAAAACTCCCAGCATCCCAGTTATCTCGGATATGGGTTCATCATCGCAAACATGAGCTTGGTTCAGTTAGGTGTCTTGTGGGCACTGTTTGCCTGGTTGTGCTGTATTTCACCATTTGCTGTTATTTACAAGGTTTAAAGAACACTCCTTCCCTCAGGCAGCAGGGACAGTAGAAAAGACAGCTGGCAGCCGGTTCGAAACCTGCCTGGGCAGCGAGACCTCATCTCTACAATAAATCAAAAAATCAGCCAGGCATGGTAGCGCACGCCTGTAGTTCCCACCACTTGGAAGGCTGAGGCGGAAGGATCGCCGGACACCAGCAGGTCGAGGCTGTGGTGGCCGGGAGCGGCCACTGCACTCCAGTCTGGGCGACAGAATGAGACTCCAACTCAAAAAAGAAAAAAAAAGAAAAGACAGCTGGCCCCCTGGCCTCTGAGTTCCACAAACAAGTGCCCACAGCCAGCAGGACGTGCCTGGCACCCATCTGTTCCTGGGCCCAACGGTGAGCCCAGCCTCTTCCTCCTCCAACACCCCTGGGACCACATCCTCTTGCGCAATCCATGTCCCCAGAGGTCTGGCAGCAGGTGGTGAGAATGCAGAGGTCCTGTTCTCCCAGGGTCCAGCAGGCACTAGAGGTACAAATTTGCCCTCCACTCTGCAGGTACCCACCCACTGATGCTCTCCCACGGGGGAGGCAGGCCCCTGCAGCCCTACAGCCCGTGCCAAGTCAGGAACTCTGTGGGAAGCCCATGGCCCTAGGCTTTGCTCTGTCACCCACTGGCCTCTCCTGGTAACAGGAGTCAGCATGGAGACTCTGGCCAGGGCCCGCTAGGGAGGGCGGTGGATCCTGGGTCTGAGAATCCACATGCTGGTAGGATGTGGGGTTGTGCAGCCAGAATAGGCAGAAGCAGAACCACTCTGAGCTGGGCCAGCAGTGGCCACCTCGGGGCACAGCCAGGTGGGGGACTAGCCAGGGTCAGCAGGGTCAGTGTGTCCTACTCTGACCTGCAGCCTGCCCAAACTCCCGCCCAATGGGGACCACGTGTGTAGGGGCAGAGCCAGAGAAGAAACAGGGGAAAGGGGATGGTACCCAAACATTGGTCTGGGGCTGAGACCAGGAGACGTCTCCTGGCCTCAGAGGGCAGAGGTACACACTGCAGGGCTTGTGTCAGGCACCCAAGGGGTCTGCTGTGTACAGTGGACACTGCAAGGCTGCCCACAGACACCCAGCCAAGGGATGGCATAAGAGTGGCCAGGCCTCAGGGGACAGAGCCAGCCTTCCACCAGGCCAGCAAGGCCGGAGGGCCCTGGGAACCCCCACAGCAGCCCTGCAGCAAGAAGTAGCCCAGGAGTTGTGACACATCTGCCTTGCTGGGGCAGCACCAGGGGCCTGACATTTACCCTGACTCATGACTTAAAATCATGCTGGGCCAAGCCCCCCATGATTTGGTCTGTCCACAGAGGACCCAGGCTGGGCGGGTAGGCTTTGTAAGCAAGCAGGGCAGGGTGTGTTTCCTGCTCCGAGCAGGTTCCCAAGCACCTGACGCCCCTGAGACAGGAGAGGGGGCCCGTGGATCCGCCTCAGTCAGGCTCAGCAACCAAGAGCCTCCAGGGCCACACAGATGCCCACCCCATGCTTAGGGCTCCCCTGTCCAGCCAGCAAGAGCTTGGTTACCACCAGGTCAGTGGATGGGGATGGGGGATGGCCACCCCGACAGCCACACAGGGTCAGGTCCCGGGTCACATTGATGGCCCCAACAGAATGGGACACAAGGGCACTTCATGATGGGCTTTCACAAGACGATTTTTCTAGTAACAGAAGCAAGGAGAAGGTTTGATCAATTCATTTTTACTGGAAATTTATGACAGCCAGAAAGAAGAAACGTGTCCAACCTCCCAGACCATGTCTCAACAGTCTGCCTCTCACCCAGGGGCCATGGGTCCATCAGGGCAATCTAGGTCTGGGCCCTACGAGCAGAAGCACTCCTTGCAGTAGTGGCATGTCTGTGTTGGAGCTTCTCGCTCACAGGACCACAGACACTCCTGCAGAAGCAAAAATGATACATTCCTGTCACCCAAACATGCCCCCCAATCACCATTCCTCAAACATCCACAGTCTGTCAGAACTGGCTCCATTCATCAGAGCCTCAGCTCTGGGTCATCTTGGTAACTCAAGGTCATGGCCACAAGGAGTCCATCAGTTCTGCCCGCAGCAGGGACACATACTGTAGGGGACTCAGCAGCAAACAGGTAGAGAAACCACTAGGGCCCCCTCCTGAGGGCTGGAGCAAGCAAGGCAGAACCCAGGGGACATCCCAGGAGGCCAGACCTGGCCTGTTTCTGAGTGGGCAAAGCTGCTCCCACTCTGGCCTGTCCAGGAAGGCCAGCAAGAGGCACTACCCCTGCCCTACAGAGGAGACAGGAGGAACCAGGAAGGGACCAACAGCTTGCCCCAGCTCTGCTGAAGGCTCCTCTGCCCGAAAGTCTGTGTCCTGCAGGCTCCTGGGCCCCTGACCCAGTGACCAGGTCATCTTGCCTCCTGCTGGCTCAGAGGCCTTTGTCCACACTTCAGCCCTGCATGTCCATCCCAAACCAACAACATGGATGACCAAGGCTGGACCAAGGCCCCTGCCCCATCCACTCACTGAGCCTGACAGGCACTGGCCGAAGCGGGAGCAGACGTCCATCAAGCCTGACTGGGCAGCGTCTTGTAAGGATTCAGGATGCCCTTGGGGTCCAGCAGAGCCTTGAGCTGATGCATGAGTTGCAAGGCCGCGGGAAGCTTGCTGTAGCCAACCACATTCCTCTTCTTGAAGCCAACACCATGCTCAGCACTGACACTGCCCCGCTGCTTAGCCGTCCATTCATACACGTGGGGCTCCAGGGTGTCCAGAAGTGACGTGCTAAAGGCCTCTGCCGTCACGTTGAGGTGCAGGTTGCCATCCCCTGGAGGGACAAAGGACACAGGTCAGGCCTCCCAGGACCCCTCCGCTCCCTAAACAGCCCCTCCCCAAGATCCCCTCTCAGACAACTCCCCAAGTTACCCCAGTCGAGCCCCATCCTCATGCTGCCTGCCCTGGATGTGTCGCCCTCTCCTCAGGGGTCACTGTTCCCTTGGCTTCTCTCTCCAAATTCTCCTCTGACCTACCCTCACCATCTCGGGCTCCCTCCACCCCCATCAGCCCAGTTGAAAGTGACCACTGGAATGACCACCTACCCTCCTGCTGCTGCCTCTGTCCTCACATGGGAGAGCTCCAGGCTAAGTCTCCAAGGCTGCACCCCAGGGCCTGACCACAATGAGGGGTCTTCAAGTGACTCCAGCTGGACGCCCCCAGCCCATGGACACCTCCCTGGGGCCCCCCAGCCAGCACCCACCACAAAGTCTTGGCTCCCCAACCACCTCCTCTATGGCCTACTCACCCCACACTGAGGCCACAGAGATTTGGCTCTTGAGAACGATCCAAACATTTTGGCCCTGGCCTGGCCCATGGCCCATGTGTACCTCCTTGTCTTGACCTCAGAGGTCAAAGTAGATGGGCACCAGGTGAAGGAGCTGACCAGAGCCAAAGTCAGGGCCAAGTAAGAACCCCATACAGCTTCCAGGCCAGCAAGAGCTCAAGGGCTGCACAGACATGAAAAGCGGGGGGGGGGGGGGGGGGGGTTTTTTTTTT